TCAATAATGCATCCATCGATTTGTTGCTCCAATGGTTAAGACACTTTAAGTGAAGTAGTTTAACAACAAAAGACAACTTCGAGACTTTTTTACAACCAGGATAAAGTTCTGTCTCAGCATCTTCTAACAATTTGTAGAACTTTGTTGCATGTACATTTGGCTCTTCATTGTCCTCTGAATTATTATTATTATCCTCCACATTCGTATATCCACAAGCATCATGAATCATTTCAGTAATATTATCCTCTTCAATGCTATCATCTTCCGCTTCATCACTAACTGCAATATTAGAAGTTTCAACTCTAACTAACACTTCTCCATGCAAGTCCCACACTTTATAAGAATCCCAAAAACCCTTCTTCAATAAATCTCCTCTTACACCAACCCTTAGCTTGAACGCGGTATTCATACACCCTTTACAAGGACACCAAATCATAGTGTTCACCCTTGGTTGACTGAATGCCCAATTAAGAAAGTTGTCTACTCCATCTCTATATCTTTGGTCGACTCTATTCTTAATATTCAACCAACTTTTATCCATCATATCTATATTAAAAAAATAAATTAATTAATTTACCAATTAAAAGGGGAAGGATTATGATAATCAAAATATATATAATAATTAACATATACCAAGGGTATTAAGACAAGCAGTCACAAAAACACATTATTCAATCAGAAAACAAGTTGCTCGTATGGAAATTGTGGAGGCCTAAGCTTGTCAGTACCAATTGAGTGGCAGAAATGATACTAAAATGAATCTGCCTGATGGTGCACAGTCGTAAGTTTACAAGGTGTAACTTAGGCAGCAGCAAGTTTTAAGTTTATAAGGTGTAACTGAGGCAGCAACAACAGATGGACTAAAAGTAGTGTTAGCTGGTGGTAATATCCCTGATGGTGCACAGTTTTTCAACAAGTCTGGGATTTCAAAAAATGTTTCTACTGTTCCAGTCGAACGTGCATTAGCTAGGATGTCTCAGACTATGGCAATAGAAGCAGGAAATAGGGTGTTAAAAGATCGAGGGACTGGATGTGATATAGTGACAGCAACAGAAGGGGATCGACCTGCTAATGCTACAAGTGAACAAACTGATAATGCAGCAGGATACAAAGCTATTTGTGTGTATGATGAGGGACGTGAACATGTACATGTTGAGGCTTTGGAGTGGGCAGATGTTACAACTTCTAAGGCTGTGAATATGGAAAATTCATCTGGAGTTATGCAAGCTAATACTGGGGCTTGGAAACCTACTGTTGATGGAGCAACAATGGATCCTAAGACCAAAAGTGATGGGCAGTCGGAGGTACCTACTGCACAACAATCTGAAGTTCAAGGTGTGGAAAATGCAAAAAATGTACAGCAGTTTGCACATGACAAGGAGAAGATATCAGCTATGCAGGAGAAATGAAGTACTGTTGCATCTGCGGCACAAATTAATAAACAATCAGGTCTTAAGGCTACAGGAATGCATGTGGAAGGACAGGTACTTAATACTCAAAGGCAATTTGCTTCAACTCCAAGCAAATTAGATACAAAGAATAACAACTGGACAGAGGTGAATAAATCACCTCGCAAGAAGCAAACACCAGATCTTCAAAATCAGATTGTACCATCAAATGCCATTGGGGTTTTGAACTCGTTTGATGCTTTGGTGAATGAGGGGGAACACTTTACGAAGGAGGCTGAAAGTAAGGAGCAACAGATGGATAATGATACAAGATCAATAGCTGAAAAAATGAGCTCTACAGGAACTGAAAAGCAAAATATTAATGCAAAGGACATAGGTGCTACACTTGAGATTGCAACGGGGGATAATCACATTGGTGAGACAACTAAAATACATGATGCAGCTACAGCAACAATGCATATTTCCAATCCGGAGCTAGATAAAATGGTAAAGAATGCCCAAGCAGCTATGTTGATGAACACAACATCAAAAAATAGGCAACCACAAGCTCCAGGCAGTAGCACACAACAGAAGTTTTCCAAGAACACAAGTGGTCGACTTATTGTTTCGCAGGACATTGTTCCTGTCTATGCGCACAAGCCCGAGGTACACAATTCTAATAGCCCTAGACTACATTTTTCTAACCCTCAAGTCGAACAAATAATCAAAGAGGCCCAGAATTCTATGATGCTCAGTACTAAAATAATTAAACAACCAATGGTCACATTGAACACCTTTATTTTTGAAATACCATCACAATCTCTGGAGTATTGTGGGGAATATGGAGGTGAGCCAGAAATCAGCAGAACAATACAGCATGCCATGAAATCATACTAACTGGCCACATAAACTTCATCACTGTCAAGTCTTTAGGGAATTAACAATATTCAATCAGATTCGTAGTTTCATACTATTACTTTAAATCTCGAACACGACAACGAAGAAGCACGCTATGGGGTACAAACAGAAATAGTTTAAAATCAACCCGACTAAAGCTTAGCAAGGAGTTGTACAGTTCTAAATGCCGAGTCTAAAAGATTAGGGATTTTAACATACCTGAGTTGTTAAAATTTCACTTTTATATTTTCCTGCCCTTTGCCGACTTCCGCAGCAGTAATCAAGTTCTTGAATACTTGAAGTTGAAGAAGCTTTGAATCGAAAGACCCTAGTGGTCTTCTTCTTCGCACACTCGGTTCACAAATTCAAACCAAAACTCGTGTCAAACCAGCTTCCAATCTTGAGATTTAGCTTCAAAATGAAGTTTCCGGCAAGTATCATAAACACCTAATCAAATTCACATTCTGATTTGAGGGATTTCGATTTGGGTGAGATTTTTTAGGGATTTCGATTTGGGATTTCTATATCTGGACAGATTTCTAACTAGAGAGTAGCGATTTTGGGTTTCAATTAGGGATTTCTAGCTATAGAGGACGGATTTTGGGCGTTTCACTGTTCTTGACATCGAGACGATGTGTTCGAGATCAGAGTGTTCTTCACTTCTGTCTCTGGAGTCTCAGGGCTTTAGTGTTTCTTTTGTTATTTTAATTACTAGTTTACTTATTTTAAAAGGTAATAGGAGCGTCCCGGTCGCTGCAATTCATATTTAGTGGCGACTTTGCAATAGTCGCCACAATAAATATGGAGCCAAAATTTTAGTTTTAGCGGGAGTGAAAATTTTAGCCACTTTAGAGGCGACACATAAATAGTCGCTGCTAAATATATTCAAACTGTGGCGACTTTTAAAGTCGCTACTGATAATATACATTTTGTAGCAACTTATAGGGTTGCTGCTAAATGTCGCCACTAATTATCCAATTTCTTGTAGTGTTTCCTCTTTAGGTCACTATGCTTAGGTTGAAGCCTTCTTCCTTATTTCCTTAGCTAGTCTTTTATTGTAGTACTTAGTGAGGACCCTCTGATTCTTGCAAGGCTGCGAGCTTATTACATCATTTACCCAGCGGATTTTTTGATGTTCTTTCTTAATTGTCATTATCCTTACTTACTTACCTTCATGCCCTTTTGCTCGTAGGGTAGCTTCTAAGATGATATTTTGATTGTCTTCCCAGTGGCACTCTCTTTTATCTCCGTAACACTCATACGGTACCTTTAACTA